GTTCAAAAACACATTAAGAAGATTATATACCATGATTAAATTAGACTCATCCAAAGGATGCAATATTGGTTCAATATGCATAAATCAATGTAATTCATCACATAGACTCAAGAACAAAAATTGCACAATCATCTCTACAGATGCAGAAAAAGCCTTTGGCAAAATTAACCACCCAGTTATGTAAAAAGCATTGAAGAAATTAGGGATAGAAGGAAATTACCTAAATATCATAAAGTCTATATATGACAAATCCAAACCTAATTTAAAAACTGAAAGCTTTTCCTCTAAAATCAGGAACAAGACAAGGATGTCTACTCTCACCACTCCTATTCATTATAGTTCTTGAAATTCTAGCCAGAGCAATGAGGCAAGAGAAGAAAATTAAAGGGATGCAACTAGGAAATAAAGAAGTCAAACTATTTCTGTTTGCTGGTGACATGATCCTATACACAGAGGACAGCCCCCCTGCAAATATATATATATATATATTTTCCCCCCTACCGGAAGATGTCTACATCTTCCATTTAAATACAAATAAATCAACAAATTCAGCAAATCAGCAGGATTAACATACAAAAAAAATCAATAGCTTTCCTATGTGTCAATGATTAACCTACCCAGAAAAAAATCAAGGAAACTGGGCTGAGGAGGTGGCTCAAGCAGTAACACGCTCACCTGGCATGCATGGGGCACTGGGTTAGATCCTCAGCACCACATAAAAATAAAATAAAGATGTTGTGTCCACCAAAAACTAAAAAATAAATATTAAAAAAACAAGGAAACTACTTCATTCACTGTAGCCTCAAAAAAAAATACTTATGAATAAATGTAACAAAGTAAAATACCTCTACAATGAAAATGGTAAAATCCCTCTACAATGAAAATTATAAAATACTGAAGAAATAAATTAAAGAAAACCTTAGAAGATGTAAAAACTGAACATGTTTTAGGGTAGGTAAAATTAAAATAATCAAAAAGACTATATCTCCAAAAGCAATCTAGAGATACATATCAAATACCAATGTTAATCCTTACAGAACCAGAAAAAAAGTGTTCTAAAATTTTTATGCAAGAACAAAAGGCTCAGAATAGCCAAAGCAATCCTGAGCAACAAAAGCAAGGTTGGAGGCATCACAATAACTGATCTCAAATTATATTACAGAACTATAATTACAAAATCAGTATTGGCATAAAA